TTATTCCCTCCCCTTCCCCTCCCCTTCCCCTCCCCTTCCCTCCCCTCCCTTTCTTCCTTCCTTTCTTCCTTCCTTTCTTCCTTTCTGTTCTTTCCTTTCTTTCTTTGTTTTCTGTCTTTGTTTTCTGTCTTTCTTTTCTTTCTTTTCTTTTCTTTTCTTTCTTCTCTTTTCTTTCTTTTCTTTTCTTTCTTTTCTGTCTTTCTTTCTTTCGTTCGTTCGTTCTGTTGTTCAGTAGCCCACAAGTCACCAAGTCTCAATGCCAACTCTCTCTCTTTCTCTCGTATCTCAGCAGGAGGAGGAGGAGGAGAAGAAGAAGCTCCGGAGGGGGAGAGGAGAGGCGATGGAGAACAGACAGAGGAGGAAGAAGAAGAACAATCCTCTCTCTCTCTGTGTCGATGTGCCAGATACTAACCTGCAGAAAGGTGGCGCCTTGACGAAGGTATGTGCGCGCTGAAGACGAAGCCGGAGCTATGGCGCGCAGGTAAGTCGACAGGTAAGTCCCCTGGCCTCCGCCAATCCCCTACTCCCACTGGTGCCATCAACCTCTACCAGCGCTCCTCGCTGTACTCGAACATTAGTGCGCCCAGCGCGTTGAATACTACTACCACTGAAGACTACTGAGTACTGCCTACCGTACTACTGGGTGGACCACCTATAAGAGGTGTTGGTCCGACTGGGAGACCGCCTCAACCAGTGCGAAAGTGCGCCAGTGTCTGAAGCAGACCTGGCGCCAAAACTAAACTGGCGCCTAACAGAAAAGTGGAACCTGACCGGTACCAGGCCTGGGACTGGCGCCTAAACCAGCAGGAACGGGCTGCGGCCTGAACCAACACTGGGCCCTAAGACAGGCCCTGGACTGCCTACTAACCCACGGACCGAAATGACACAGGTCTGCGATCAGACTCAGGACAGATCCACAGACCTCGGCTAGAAAACCCCTAGACTCCACGTGTCCGCTAATCCTACTGTCCGGCCCTACAGGGGCCCGTGTGGGAGCCGTGCATACCACATAAAGGCAGCCTCGAGTAATGGACTCCCATTTTGATGGCTCCTTTCCATCGGTGGGGAGCATCACCCGCTATCTATTTTTATCATATAATATGTAAACCACCTCTTCACGACCCTGTTTCTGTTCGTGTGTGCTCATAAACAACTATCCGGCGTGGCCTGGTAGAGGTTTGGCAGGACGGGAGGAGTGGTGCACCCCGAAAAAAAAAACTTTGTTGTGTGCCCAGCAATAGGGAGATCGTATCGACACTAGTTTGCTCTATCGACGCAGAGGTGTAACAAGCATACATTACTATACTGTAGCCAGCAGCTGTAGAGCGTGCATTATTCAGATGAAGACTGAAGTAGAATCATATACTCATACGAAGCAGAAACAGGACGCATCAAACAGTCTGCAGGACCATGAGATCAACCAAGAGACAAACCCCACGGAGATAGAGTTAACACACAAACTGCACACTAAGATATTCAAACTTGAAAGTAAACATAAGTTTGTGCATATAGCGTTCACATTCTCCATGCGAACTGGATGGCTCTGAAGGAAAAGAAAAACATGGCCAAACAAAAAAGAAAAAAAGTTACAATAGAAAAGATGAAGAGAACAAGACAAAAGAGAAAATGCAATACTGAGCCACCCTTGCAGTTGTCCTGCTGGGACAAGAGAAACACCACCGAAAAAGACAAAAGGAAAAAAAAGAGGAAAAAAAAATTGAAAGAGAAAAAGAACCTGCGGCCACGGATAGTGCGTCTGAGTCCCAATGGTCTCTTCACTGGCTGAGGGAATACATCGAAAAGGCCACGTGTGACATCAGAGCGGCCTGTCTGAAGCACATTGATCTGAGAGCGATTGATCTGAGAGCGATATGGAGGAGTGGCAAGATGAGGATGAGGGAGTAGGTCCAGAACCGGCCCTTGTCCCCGGACAGGGAACCAGTGGAAGTTGGGGGGAATATAAGCTAGATGATTCGGCCACCACTGCGCAACAAGGCCCGTCGGGTGATGCGTCAACATAGATGGATGCGAGTGATCAGGCCCCCTCCTAGGTTGTCTACCACTATGATTGTACCCCTGCCTCTTCCCCGTAACCTCAATGATGGAGACTTTCATAAAACGGGCAAACAAAAAGGAAGATCGGGTGGACTGGAAGACAGGGTGGACTGAAAGATACAAGGGATAGTCATTAGGTGCTGGAATATTCTCGAAAATATTGTTGACAAAGAAGAAACATGAATAACATAATCAAAGGACTTACCGTTCACACAAATAAACTGACAGATATCACATTGTTGCAAGAAACTCACCTCACTCTCTCAACAGAACACAATAAAATTTGAAAACTCTTATCAAGGAAACTGGGAGGAATGAAGGACAAAATATAGTCCTCAAATAGTACATCAAGCACGAAGGAGCAACCATCCTTATACCCAAATCATCCCGCCTATACACGACAGGTTTGATAGTGGGCAAAGAGGCGGATACGATAGACGTTAGATGGTACCTTATGGATGTAAAGTGTAAGGAGGAAGAGTTCATAGTAATCAATGTCTATTCACCAAACGACTCTTCAGACAGATCGACATTTATAACAAACATCGGCCATTTGATCCCCCCTCTGTCGGCCTGCATTTTGGTCGGTGATTGGAATGCAACTATAGACCCTGCCACGGATCGTATATCTAGGTCCTCGGCTGGTCAGCTTACAGAGGAGGCGGTGCCCATCCAAAAGCTGATAATTGACTAGAATCTAGTCGAACCATACCGTACTTTGCATCCAGGGACAAGAGCCTTCACATTGGATAAAAAGAATCATGCCCACCACACCGCTTTTTCCTTGATTGACTACTTCTTGATCTCAGGGACACTAATCGGGACAACTAAAATTGCTGAGATACTCCCCCTCGCACCATACACGGGTTTGGACCACAAACCCATCGAACTCATAATCAACTTCGAACAGTATGTCAAAAAGAGGTTGAGCTTTCACAAACTCAACAACTCCCTCCTACCAAGCCAAACTTTTGAGGTAGGAGTTTAGGAGTGATGGCATAATTTGAGGGGTGCCTACCTACCCATACAAGATCGGTGGGAGTGGTTTCAGGAAAGCTACTCCTCACTATCACAGATGGTTGCTAGAATCTCAAGGAAATTAGCGACCAATGGGAAACAGAGGAAGCAAGCTTTGAAGACAGCCTTGAAGATCGCGGATACAAATCTGATTGATAACCCCTCTTCTGCACTATACACAAATATTTTCAAAAAGGCAAAAGACAAACTCACTATGTGGAGATGGTGGGAACTAAAGGAACTACAAATAAGAGCTAGAATGAACGAATACGAGCTAAGTGAGTCAATGTCAAAACACTTCTTCGCAAGAATCAACGCAGACCCAAGGGCCAATGCGATCGAAAGCCTGAAAACCCTCTTAAATACAACTGAAACAGTGACAGACAACGAAGGGATGTTGAACGTAGAAAAGGAATTCTACAAAGAGCTCTATCACACAAAGACCCCTATGCCTACTCCGCCCAACACCAGAGAGGCATGGGGCGAGGACGCTACAATACCTGGAACAAACGATATCTCAGGAAGAAGCAGACGCTCTGGACAAGCCCATCACCATGGAAGAACTGCAATTTGTTGTCCAAAGTATGAACAATAACAAGTCAATAGGAATCGACGGGCTGACAAAAAAATTATAGGAAAAATTTTGGCCACTCTTAGGGGGCGATCTGCTAAACTTCTACAACAACAGCTGGCTCAAGGGCGGACAAGGAAACTTACTGAGTAGCAACGTGGTCACTTTGTTGTACAAAAAAAGGGGAGAAAGAAGATATCAGGAACTATAGAACCATCTCACTTCTAACCCTTCCCTATAAGATCCTACCCAAAACTCTTGCCTTTCGAATCCTAGACCTGACAGACAAATGCTTTCATATAGACCAAACAGGCTTCATCCCTGGGACCAAACTTACTGAGTAGCAACGTGGTCACTTTGTTGTACAAAAAAAGGGGAGAAAGAAGATATCAGGAACTATAGAACCATC